AGAAAATGATGTGTTTTCACTTATCTGGTGAGTCAAATATGCCTCCTGCATTAACTTTAATAGAATCAAACTAACAAGAAGAAAAATAAAGTAATAGTAAAAATAATTCAACTGAATTTTCACAGTAGTTATTTACAAACTATCCATCCTTACCTTAATCTTRCATTTAGTCTCCTATCCTGTTCCAGCTGCAACTGATTGCCAACTGACTTGTGTTTTGAGCTCTGCCACACAAAATGTTCCAGACCTTACAAGTACAATAACCACACATAACCCCACCAAAGCACCTTACTCCTCACCTATAATTTTAAAATCATAGTTGTGAAGTTGTATCACCAATTGTGGCCTTGCTCTGTTTGGCAGAGTTGTGGAAGTAGAAAAGGCAATTTGCCAGCAGGAAACTGAGTAAAAGCCATTTTGCACYTTAGTACACGACTTATGACAGCCTAAGAGTAGGCTAATATTGGAAAAGCTTAAATGGTCTTCTAGGAGCCCTTGATTTGGCAGCTTTGCTCTTGCCCTGTTCCCKGTCACTACACCGTTTCTTGTGCCTTTACATGGGATTGAGAACAGTATGAACAGAATGATCAAATTAACAGAACAGTGCAGAAAAGCAGCAATAGAACAGTATATTTTTTATCATTTTTCACTTGCTTTCATCAGATAGTTAATGGTCTATTTCCTTCCAAATTTTTCCTCTTATTTTGTACATTCGTCTTGGCTTAATATCATGGCAAGCTTTTGTAGCTTGTTTAGCAACCTGTCACAGTTTTCCCTTCACTCATGCGTTAAGTCTAGCGTTATCACATCGCACGCTGTTTGCAATGGATACTGAAAACAAGGCCTGCAGCACTTTCCTCGGCTCTGGTTTGTGGTATTGACAACACAGAACATTTTTCTGTCCTGCTACGGCCTACAACAAGGTGAAAGTAAACAYCAAACTGCAGAAGGTTTTTTATTGCTCCCAGATTTACCAATAAAACGTCATAAAGGGATGAATTTGGCTTATACCACATATATAAACTTTGGGGTGGCCTCCCAGCACTCTGATCAACTGCCATGGGGTGCGTTATTAAGACTGCACATTAGTTATCTACAAGAGGACTTGCTGGCCGTGCTCAATTCCTTCCTTCCATGGAACCACAGAGAGAAGGTTCAAATCACATAGCAGCTTCAGGCTGTCTTGGTCAAAGGTGATGATAACTTTTCACATCTGACCTGCCAAAAATTTACCGGTGAACAAACGTATATTCCTCTTGCATTTTTTGCCAGTGGTATTTACCAGGTAAAATTCCCATTGCTTTGTAATTCAACCCACTATCTGAAAACAGCATGAATTTTGGGGTCAACTTAAAGAAAAAATACCTTCAATGAACTTGTTTTCATCTCATAAGTACAACTCCTACAAATAGCATGTAGTATAAGTTCTATGTATAATAGCCTCACTTGTGTGTCTGAACTCAGTGTAATGTGTAGTATTACTCAGTGTAGTAGCACATGTATCCATTACTTGGAGAAAGTATATACTCTAGTTAATATATTTTAGAGCTTAATATCATCAAGAATTTTGCTTGTTTTTCATGAGAAAATCTTGGCCAAAACAAAAATGAATCTTTGTAATCCAACCAGTTTTGTCACTTTTCTGTGAGAAGCAGTGAGCAAAATTCTACAGCAGAAAATGATGTTTGAGGAAACTCCCCTACAATGAACGAAAGCTCATAAAATGGAACCATATAAGGATGCTTAGAAAAGTCCTTAAATTTGAAATGTGAAAGAGGGGAATTTCTGTAAAACTGCATGTATCCATAAGTGGGCTCCTCTTTTTGCGCTAGCCAGAGTAATCAGGTGGGCGTAAATGAGGCTAACAAGTTTTTCCTCCTGCCAGAAGGGGACGTCCTACCTTTATTTGAGCTTAATTCTGTAGGGGAAGCCAGTTGAATGMGAAACCACAGCATATGATGATACACACATCCCATGGCAATTGGATCCTGTCTGAATCCTTTTCCTCTCTCTTGAATTTTAGGAATGGAAATTCCAGAGTAGGCCTCCACATTTTCTCTAGCCACAAATCCAGCTAATCAGCTTTGTTTGGGGTCCTATGTACATTCTCAAAAATATTTATGCAGACTTGCTCCTTATAGATGAGGGAGTCCAGATGTGGCCCATTCTTGATACAGAGTGACAGCTCCTCTGTTGAGAGAGATCATGCACTGGGCGGGGGGGAAGAGCAAAAGAAAATACACTATGCTAATACAATGAATATGGAATTATCACATCACAAAACAAATACACCCAATGTAGAAATATTTCTGTACATACACATACCTACATATATGTGTATGTGTGTGTAGGTATGTTAATGACATATGTAACACAAAGCTACACTTGGGGTTGATTTTTTCTTTTTACTCCCCATTTTGCTGCAATTTTCCACAGAGACCAGTCACTCAATATTTTTGGTTAGGGAGTCTGTTGTAGCTACAGCTACATTAGAGATAGGACAAACCCMCACATTTTATGTAAATTGAGAGTTAAATCTAAACTTTCTGAAAATTTGAGATGCTAGTGCATAGAGTTTTTTTTTWAAGGCTTTATTATTCCAAGATCAGGGCCAGCTGCAAAGATTGGACTCACATCCAAAAACATATATTAAAATGCATACGCTTCTCTGTAGAAAGAAGTTCTAAAACCTGTCAGGCTGAGAACAACGCTCTTTTTGTGCACTGCCTGACAATTCACTTACAGATTGACCCTATTGTTTTTTGGTAATTTAAATGTGATTGTTGGCAAAGCAGAAAGGGGTGGGGGAGTTATGGAGACACACAGATAAAAAGAAGAAAGCATTTCTGATTATACAATATATCCTCGACATGTTGTTACACACAAACCCAATATTTAGCATTTAAAAAAGAAAAAAAGAAAAAAAAAACAATAAAAGGCGCAGCAGCTGTTTCCTTGTGATGTCAGAGAACAGGTGTGATACAAATCTCCATACCAGCGCAATCATATTGATCTCCTGATGATGCACGCATGAAGCACATGTGCAAACGGTATCGACCCATCCGACATTTCATTTCCAGGAAAACRGCCCCAAAATGCCCCTCTATAACTGAAAACATCCTCAGGATAAACACAGCGCTGGCCAATTATTACCGAAATATTAAGGGGCCGATGTTATAAAGCGGCGCGGGCGGCTGGAAGSGGCGGCCCCGCGGGGCTCCCTCCGCGCAGGGTCGGGGCGCTCGGGGGGCACCTGCCCCCCAGGAGCTGCCCGCCCGCCCGCAGCCCCCTCCGCGGCCGCGGCCGCTCCGCTCCGCTCCGCTCGCGGGCGTTAAAGGCATCTGCCATTAGAGGGCACCACGCGCCCCCGCATGAGCGCGGCCCGCGGGAGAGGCGGGCAGGGAGAGAGTGGCACCGCGCTGGGGACGGCTGGAGGAGGATGCGGAGCGACGGGGGCTTCTGCGGGGCGCGCAATGCCCGGGCGCTGCTCGGGCGGGACGGTGATCATAATAATAATAACAAAAAAAAAACAAAAAAAAAAAAAGGGAGAGAGAAAACGCAGCGAGGAGGTCAGTCATTTACCAGTCTGCTTCTTAATGCGTGTGACTGCAGGTGGCACGGAGGGACAT